ATAGCTTGAGGATTTTCCTTTGCATTTAAAAAAAAAACAAAAGTTGAATTAGAATTATTTGACGTTTGACTTTTTTTAACCCCTTATTAGCAAAATTGTGGAAAAAGAAATGAAAAAGTAGTTTTATGTGTCAATACATCTGTGTGCGTCTGTGGGGGTGACCGCAGTTTGCTAGCTAGTGCTTCTTTCATGAGCTAAATGTGGCTGCACGTTGAAACTAACTGAAAATGAATAAACAGACTTTTAAACAACTATAGCTGCAATATGCAACCTTTACAACAACACGTTTTCTCCATATTTGCTAAAACTGACACCGTGTGAGATAGATAATCTTTGGGAAAAAAGATCAAGCTCCTCCACCTCATCTTGTGGTTTGCAAAAATGCATCACTAACAGTCAAAAGCAACCAACCAGAGCCAGGAGGAGTGTCCTAGAGCTGTCAATAGTGTTTGTGTACATGCTGCTCAATGTTCTAATGGAAGAATAAAACACTCACTGTTTCGGGAGAAAACAGTTCATCTAGCATTATTTATAACCATGCTAACTGGCCTTATCATTCATTGCAGGTCATGTTGCGGTAAACTAGCTTTAGCATTGCAGAAAGAAAGGGCGAGAGTGTGAGTGGCGCATTCACGAGGGTGATTGACAGAGCTGTAAGCCTCCTCCTAGCTTTGAAAGGTTGTTTCTGACTGAACATTGTATTTCCACAGTTGGTACTTGGAGCACCAGAAAAAGGCAAAAGAGCTAAATTTTTTCACAGATTATCTGTCTCATTATGCTGTCACGACATAATAATGAATAATTTTAACACGTAAAAAATCATGTTCTGTAAAACTTAAAAACTGCAGCTTTATATCTCAACAAAACACTTGATAAAAAGAGCAGAAATGAAGCAAATGCTGCCACTTCACCTATTTCTCTTCTGGATGTCAGACAATAGGAAGTGATCCTGCCTACAGTTGGGCTTTCGTTCTTTCTTTGCCTTTTTTATTATTCAGTCTAACGTGTAACAAATATGCTATGTAGGCATGTGCATGCTGTGTATGCTATGCGCGTTTCTGTGTCGCATTGTGCGCGTTTGGTCTTGTGTGGGTCAGCTGCGCCGTGTTTGTGCGCCATGCGCATCACGCCACATATTGGTGCGGGCCGGGATGCTCTGTGCTGGTTTTGAGCGATGGGGATGTGATTGGGTTTGTGTTCCGATGACATCCTGCAGCCGTCCCTGGCCTCACACACGTTTCTTCAGCCTCTGTCGTTCTTTTTGTCTTACTCTCGAGTTCGTGCCGTCATTAGCCGCGTCGCAGTGTTCAAAGGGTTGTGACAAAAACGTATTTTTTGGAGTCATTAGATTGTGAAGCTCAAATAGAGAACACACAACCGCTTCCTCCCAGGGAGCGTACAAGTGCTGCTGACTGTGTAACAAATTTGTGCCTGTCAAATTTGTGTATAGCTTTGTTAAAGCTAACCTCCACCATGTCCCATTTTGTGAGGGTATAAGCACAAAAAAAAAAAAAAAAAAAAAATGAGCAAGCGGTATTTCGTGGCTGCACAGTGTGACGCACAGCAGCTCCATCTACTTTGTTGTGCCATTTGTCAGTTGACAAATCCTTTCAATGGAGTCTACCTGGCTTCGCTCGCTCATCATTTTAAAGGAATTACACTGTCTGGGAAGATGAAGGGATTAGAGAAGGGGGATGAGAGAAAGTTATATAAAAAAAGGCGAGGGAGGAGTAGAAAAAGGAGAAGATGGGAATCTATTCAATATGGTGAGCACAGCGGCCATGAAGCCATTCACTGTCACAACACACAGAATGAGAGAGAAAGGATCCAATGTGGCTAATCCTTAACTATTTCAGTCTGTTAGCCCAAGAACGTCAAATGTAGAGGGTTAGCATGCATCGTGTCGCTGTGCTCCATGTCATCAAGACTGCTGCGCTTACAAGAAATAAAGCATGTACAGCTGAAACTCATGCTGAGAGTTTTACAGATAAATAAATCTGACACAGTCTCTCATTTTTGTGGCATTTGAAATTAAGTTAGTAATTCTGACCGACCTAAAACAAGAGACGCTTGGTCTGATTCATCTTCAGACAGTGAGAAAAAAAGGTTGCATTTATTTTTGTGTATGTAAACTTCTGGTTTCAACTGCACGCGTTTCACTTTCTGAAAAGAATTACAGAATAAATTAGCTTTGATAATATTCTAATTAACTGTGAAACATTCACACTGTAGTGACGCCATCAGGCATTCAGCAAGTTTTTTCCCCCTCAATAAAAATAGAAACTCTGGGGAAATTCAATGTGCCAGCAACAAGTTAAAGGCAAATAAAAATAAGCATGTTCAAAGTAAGCAAAGAAAAACAAAAATAAGAATGAAAGATTGTACAATAAAGGCAAATTTCCAACAGAAAACACTTTGGTTATGCATTTCCGTAGTAGCTGCAAAGTGCAAACAGCGTGCTTTAAGTTCTCCTCTGTTCTTATGTAATCGTACACTGATGCAGCCGTTTCTGAACCTATCTGAAAAAATAAAAATAGTTTATGCCTGCTTGGTAGGAAATCTTTTATGACCTGCTGACCAATGCATTTAAAAAATATGCCCATAGCTCCAGTTTTTAAAACTGCTGAATTAATTTCTGCTTATATCCAAAAGCCCGTCTTAACACTTGACTAAGCTTTAATGCTGCCATCATCACCGTGTTCAGTCATCTAAAGGGCAGAACATGGTATTAAAATAAAAAAGGACAGACAGGCAAGAAGGAATTATTCAGATTAGCTATATACAAAAAACACACTTCAGCTTAAGAACTGCTGCATAACGTGTGAATAGTCAGAGATGCAAAAGATGGACTGGAAATGGAGAAGAAATGAGCAGAGAATGAAGGAGTCAGGGAACAAGCAAAGAAAGGAAAAGCAAAATTCACAACGTAACAAGGATTATTAAGCATGTGGGATTTGTCACCATTGTGTAACTAGGGATTTAGAGAATACATTGTAAACAAAAGGAATATTTTCAATCTCTCTAGGCTCTATTCTTACCTTATGAATCTGCTGTGGCAACATTTGGTTTCACTTTTATTTGAATAGAGTGCATTTATCATACGGTTTATCATTCATCATGATAAAAATGTTGATTTACGCATCATCTGGATTGATAGTTTTACTATTTTTTCCATTTGTTTGTTCAATGATAGTGTCATTACATTTGAAAATATAATTAAATTATTCAATTACTATGTGCAGTTTAGTGGTACAAATCATACTTCTGTCGGTTACTGGTGTCCTACAAAAAAAATCATATTATCAATGGGTGTGTTTCTCAAGAGCAGTACTTGAGTTTGCCATCTTACAGTTGTAGAAAAAAAGAGTAATAAATAGTTGTTTTATTATTATTACGTGACAAAACTTTAAATCCATGTCACTCAACTCAAAATGCAACACATGTAACGAGAGTTTAAGTTGCAGTGAAGATGAATGAATTTTATCTTTATGAAGTAACAGCTGTAGAAAAGAAAAAAAAAACTATTTTTATTTGCACTTAAGTGATTAAATGTGGATGTAGGGTTTTGGTCACATTTACTTTCACTTTGAAGTGCAGAAGCTCATCTGGGCGAAAACAAATCCGGCTCAGAGGGAAAGTAGCAAAGAGTCGGGCTTGGCTGCAGAAATGACAGCGAGAAGAACCGGTGAAGGCTAAATTAAAAGCCGCACTGGATGACTGTGTAGCCTATCATCAAAAAGTTTGAAAAATGACAGAGGTAACATCCTCTGATAAATAGACCGCCTTTTACACCGAGCAAGAAAGAAGTGGTGGAATGGAAAAAGTGAAGAGGGGAGGGGGGTCGAAACGTGTGTTTTTATTACTCTGTGGGAGTCTGTGTGGACGTCTCTCCACTGTGTGTTTGTGCAGAGCTCTGCTGCCTTTCAATAGCAGATTTTTCCCCCTGTTTCTGTGTGAAATTGATCAAGTGTGTCCACAAAAACCTCACGGCTCACTTGTGTATTTGACCTTGTCCCTGACTGATGGTGGAAGAGTTTTTGTGCATGTGTGCATACAAATGTCTGGATGGCATTTGAAGCAATATCTTTTTAGTTGTGCTTCTAAAGTACCATCTATTGTGTTTTTTGTTTTTTTTTTGTTTTTTTCTTTTCAAACATCCCACTCATTACTCCTTCAGCATCCATCCTCAAGCTCCTTTCATTTTTTTTTGTATCAACTTCTCTCCACATAATCATTTTCTTCAGTTTTCAACAGATTTTCCTTTTAATTTCACACATGAGTGAACAAACTTAAATGATGACCAGCCAATTCGCACCTATGTGACGGCTTGCACATGCATCGTCAGTAAGAAGCATTTACCTAAAAATAAAATGGACCGAAACAAAAACGTAAAAACAGAGAAACATTAAAATGTCACAAAGTATAAACAAACATTTAAAAACACAAAGAAACAGATCAGAGTACCAGAGAAAGGTTAAGTTGAGGAAGAAGGTTGACATATTATATTTTTTAAAACATGGAGGGACATAAACATAAATGTTTGTGTTTCATACCACTTGTCCGTTCTGTGGATTTTTGTGGGCGTAGGGAGGACCTCGAATGTGATTCCACATCTGTCCAGACGTCATTGCAAAAACCACACACTGTTACAGAGAGAAAACAACAACAAGAAGAAATACACAGAAGTTGAGAGAGCTGAAGTCTGAGGGGAGGCAATAATGAGAATTTTAACTAAATACATAAAATAAGGCAATGTCATTATTTAAAAAAAAATGTTCCAACACAATTTTCAATTTAAAATTCCACATATTTCACACCTTGTTTTTTCAGTAATTGTCTAATTGTGTCCCACAAAACATAAAATCTTGATGAACTGAGATCAGCTCTGTTGTAAGATGGTTAATGCTTAAACGTGTAAGATCTGAAGGAAATTATTTTACACAGTTTGTGATCTTTGATGTCTTATCACACCATGATGTCCAATTAAACCTCAGTCTAGAAAACTGAATGATTAATTTTTAGGTTCTGTCAGTATCTCAAAAACCCAAGTGATTTTGACATTTAAAAAAATAAAGTCATGTGCTACATCAAAGACAAAGGATGGAGTTTAAACATAAATACATCTAAAAAGTCCTTCATTTTTCATAAAATTGAAAATAGTATTATTATAAAATAGTATTGTGCTTCTTCATTTATTAAAAAAAAAATACATTTTTCATTGTATACCATAACTTTCCCCTTGAGGATTAGAAGGTTTTAACACTAAAGTTGGTGTATGAGTGTGTGTGTGTGTGTGTGTGTGTGTGTGTGTGTGCGTGCGTGTGCGCGCGCCTGTGTGTGTGTGTGTGTGTATTCAGTTATCATACCAAAGCAGCCATGGCCCATCCAGTCTTGTTATATATGAATTCCAAGTTGTTTCTCCTCAGATACAGCAAACCTCCAACCAGAGACACCAAAAGAGCCAAAGCAATAGTACCGGAATAATTTGGAGGACGGAAGACACGAATCTAAGAGGGAGATAAGAGATCAGCAAATCAATACAACAAAGAAAAAAGGCCTCAAATAAGTGCTACAAGAGCATCTGAAACCTGAACCAAATATTCTCTTTGTACAAATCCAGAGTAAAGCACAGGTTTCAACCTTGAAAACGTAAATTAAATTCTGAAATGAATTCCAGTGATGCATGGGGCAAGAATTTATGGTTTTTAAAAGCACAACAATTCACAAAAATAATGTCTCTCAAATAATAGTGGTATGCAGAGCAAGATGAAAAACTTTATTGTGCATAAAATGTTATTTTGGCAAAACTAACTTTTATGCTTCCCAACTTATGCAATAACTGTACATAAGTTCATCATATGAAGAAGCAGTCATTAAAAACGTTGTACTTAAATGGCAGGATTATAAATAGAAGCAAAATGTTTGGAAGAAAGCTTGAACATAATCTTTTTTTGATGCTTTTGCACATCCTATTAAATTCTCCCACCTATATTTATGACAAAGTAAAGTTTCCTAATCAGATTATAATTTTATTCATGATTATGGTAATTTATTCAATTACATGTAATATGAAAATAAAGATGCCTAAACCCTTCCATTCTGAGTATAAAACCCATGAATTAAATTTTGGTAAACAGCACCAATAAATCAGACTGTGTTGGTCTGATTGTATGTGTAGAGTTAGTTAAAACGCTTCTTTTTTTTTCTTTTCTTTTTTTTAAATAAAGCAATACAGAGATTTTCAACTGAAGTTGCATTTCCCAAAAGAACTTACATTTGGGCTTGAGTTTGAGGCTGACAGTGAACCATAACAAAACAAACAAACAAACAAAAAAAAGATTGCCTGCAGTGCTTTGACCCTCAACACACCAAGGCAATGGGAAATCTTAAAAAGAAAACCTCGTAGTATTGACGTAAACTTGCACTTTAAAATGGCAGCAGATGGAGAAATTGTAACTGTACCACATTTTTAAAAAAAAAGTGGATCTGGCTATATTTCATCCAAATTAAATCTTGGTTTCTTGCAAATGCGCATTCGTCTGCATCGGTAGTTTACCAGGCTGTACCTGAACATCTGTGCGATCGGCGATCCACTTGGCCAGCTGCTCTGAGGCGAAGCCGATTCTCTGCAGGTCAAACGTATCGGCCCTCTTGGGTTTTCCCTTTGCAGGGAAATGCATGAAAGTTGGAGCGCTGTTCATGTTCAACTGAAAAAGAAAGGACATAAGCCTCCGATTGTGAGAATCAATTTGTCAAACGTAAATCTGTCATGCATTATTTTTGTCAAGCAAATGATGGTAGAGACAAGTATTGCTCAACCTCTGTTTCCACATAATTATTGGTGGCACAGTATGCATTGATTGAAATAACAATCTGGTTTTGTTTACACATTCAACAACTTGTTGGTTTGACAAAGCAACATTTTTCACCAAACTATGTGTAACGTCACATTCTTAAATATTCTGGTTTTGCCTCTTCTTCATTTAAGCCATCACTAATTGGCCCAAATACGCTCTGAGAAATTAATGCAAATAAACTTAAACTTATAAGAAAGAAGAAGAAAAAAAAAACAACCAAATGTGAACAGCAGACTTGGTGATGATTTCCTCACAGTCAGAGCAAAGCTGTCAACGCTCACTCTTCTACATTACCAGCATTCTGCAGGTGTTTCATGACGCTAAAGTGCTGCTGCCAGCTGTAAAATGGATTTGCTCATCAGTATTTTGTTTATGCCAATGACAGGGGGGAAAAAAAGCTGTCAACATCGTTTCCACCGTTTAACCACACAATCCAGATAATGCAGCTTTCCAGTGAAGAAATCTTAGGCCTTCTTTGTCAACTCGTGGTCAGGCGCCACTATGGCTCAGAAAGGTCTTGGTGTTGAGGTGTAGTGGGTAAAAATAATTAAATTGTAAAAGAAAATCATCTTAGGTGACCAAATAAAACCAAAAATATATGTTTCAGAAATATAATCCATAAGTGATCACAACACATGAGCTCAAAGCTAATGAAACTACTAAACAAAAAACAGAAACATGTCACCAAATTTCTCTGAGTCTAAATGAATAGAGGTGTATATAACTGTAGGAAAAGTTTCAGATCTAATAAAAAAAAAAAAGATAATTTAAAAAAGTAACAGTACTGGTTTAAAAATAAATAAATACTATTTGTGCTGTTAAAATGTCTTTTGGATGGAAAGACTTCAAGGTTGCGACACAAACTGCCTACCTGTTGGAAGACGTCGGCTCCTTCATCGTAGTCCACAACCGTGAAGAAGAGCTTGTTGGAAAATGCAGATGAATAACGCCAGGAGTTTGCCAGGACCTGGTATTCTTCATTCGCTTGTCTATAAAACAAAAACAGGACAATCACAGCTACCCAAGTAATTTTTCATAATAGTCATGATCCTAGACGCTAGCTTAGTTTTTCAAAAGCTTATTTTCAAGGTGTTACTCTCTTATATGGCATTTTGTGAATAATGGATTAAATGTGGCCAGTTTTCTACAACGGATCCCCTACAAGATTGTAAATCTTTAAACATGACATGTATAGAAACCTGCTTTGCAATGTTGGTAGAAGAAGGTATTGCATTTATTATGCTTCGTTTACAATCAGCTCAATAATTTCCCGTTTTTCTCTTAACGTTTTCACAGGACCTGTTTTCATCTCACTTTCCTGCACCATGCTCTATTGTTATCGGCCATGTTTACAGCTACACAAAATTAGCACACAAACATAATCAGAAAATGAAAAACTAAGAAAAAGAGAACGGAACCAAGACACGCACTATGCATCTTTGCCAGTAGAGTCCCACTCAGTCTCAGAAACATCTTTCTTTTCTAAATGCTGAAACCACCTCAGTATGGTCATGTCCTCTGAAGGTTTTACTGAGTGGGAAGTCATCCTTCAGGAAACATGAGAGGTGATGTTGTATTGCTATAGATGCTGTTAATGGTAGGGGAGTCACTTTGTGGCGTCGATCATAAAAACATCTGAATAAATCCAGGCAGAACTCAGGCTGGCAGGGTGAGAGCTGATATTACGAGCATTTTACCCGAATTCAATGCCAAATTCTACTTTTAATGATTACTACTAAAATGTTTCAATCCCTTGAATGGAGCTTTTATTAAGGACACCCATTTGAAAACCGAGGGTTTCATTAGTATCGCCAGGTGTATTTTGAGTTATAACATCTCAGTGGCTCGGGTCACCTACCATGTGCTTTTCTTACAGTGGTGAGAAAGGAAGAAAACCTTGCAACACTTGGTGCCAGGATGCACCTCTAGGTGACAAACTCAAACAGGCTCACACTCCAAATGACTGAAACTCATACGAATCCAAGTCTCTACATCGAAGTCAACAAAGCTAACAGGGTACAATGGGGCATCTACTTTGATGAGCAAAGCTTCCTTGGCACATGCTGTCGTCCATACGGTACGCCCGACATGCCGAAACTGGACATGAGAAAAAAAACTAAACGTTCAGTTTGCTAATGGGTTTTTACTGCAGCAGTATTAGTTTTTATGTTTAGCTACGTCTAAGGAATTGGAAATACAGCGAACTAAATAGCACCTGAATGACATTTCATTCATGTTTCATGTATGACAAAAGCATCAAGAGTGTGTACGCAAAAGGAATGTGTTGGATCAGATATAAATAACTTCTTTAGGTGTGAAAGGTTAAGGAGTAATTCAATGAGTCTACACAAAGATGAACAACGGTCTAAACCGACTCCATGACAAGATGCAACTCATACTGAGAACAGAGGGTTATGATATAAATATGTGCTCAAAAATAAGAAGTTCTTGAACCGTGATCAATAAAATGCCACTCCATATTTTACACCAGATTTGCTTGGGTTATTTTCTACACTTCTGCACTGTAGACTAAAGAAGTTCCTTAGCTTAAGACAAGCTGCTAACAATGGTTATAATTTTCATGCATAGTCATGGGGAGGACTTACACAAAATGCAAGCATAACATCCAATTTAAATGTGGGAAAAGTATGCCAGAACAGAAAGGCGTCATTTGTTTGACGGAGTTATTTTTAGGTGCGGTTTTGTATTTGTCTCTACAGTTGCCATTAAAAATTAAGGTTTCAAAATACTATTTTGTTGACAACATTCAAGATTTCTATACAATGTATTCAGTTATTTCATTTAATTTCATTTTTTATTTCCTTCACTCAATAAATATGAATATTTCATGTAACAACTAAAAGAAATCATGACTGAAAAGCATCAGAAAGACGTATAAACTTATAATATCTGTGCCCAGTTATGTATGTTTGAACCACATGGAAGCTTACAAATACATAAAAATGAAAACACAAAATGTGATAAGCCAGATTTGGCAATGCAGTAATTGCTTATAAAAATAGTTATTCTTAAAATGTTTAAATGGATTTGTGAAGGCTTTGTGAAACAACATCGTTCAGCAACGTGCAAGTCAGTCATACCTTTCTGGAGTAAAATAAGAGCTGACATTTTGATGAATCATATGATTCATGATTAATACCTTACATAATCAAGAGACTGATGAGGCAAAAGACTGGCTGATTAGAGTGAGAAATCAGGTCAAAATGGACAAGGACGGTACTCATTTCAGAAAGTGGTTTAATGTCTCCTTGGAGACACCGATGTGGTCAAATATAAGGTTTACACTAAATAGTCGAACGCCGCTGCCCAAGTTTACATTACAGTAAAACACGAGTGTGCATCATGGCTTCTGACTCCCAGATGAAATTGTCAGTGTTTGTCATGTTCACTCGACCTGAGTCAGACATCCTGACAATACAACAGAGTTTGAGCTTTAGCGGCAAAGGTGGATTTCTCATAGATGAATAAGCAGGAGCTTTACTGCAGGGTGGATCGCAGAGTAATATTTTCTTGTTTCAAAATACTTTAAAGACCTACCTTCAGGGTATGGCTATATGTACAGTCGTGTTCGAAATAACAGCGATGTGTTTTAAGAGCAAAAAGCAAAAGCTAAAAATCCTCATGACATCTTTACATCAATAATACAGAAAAATATTGGGAACATTGCTTTAAGATGTTTCATTTGTAATAGAACGTGCAAATGCTTCTACGTTGGGCAACACAACCATTTCTGTTGGTGATGAACAGGTTTTGATACAATGGCATAATAAAATCCCCACACCATGACGCCCGAGTCACCGTGTTTCACAGTGTACTTTGGTTTGACTTGAACATCTGGGGGTCACGTAGCAAAACTATGGATCTGAATGCAGAAGCAACAAACTGGCTTTCATCAGTTCACAAAATGTGGCACCCTTCCTCTTCACCCAACATGATCTTTAGCAAACTGACTTCTACATCCCACTTTCCTCCTTTCTCGTTGGTTCTTTGGTCGCTCTGGGACTGGTCATTGTTCAACTCTGACTTTTGGGCTATTTTTACATGTTTTGCTCTATTCAGATTGTTTTCTGCTCCCCCCCCACATCTCCCAGATTGTGTAAGCTATTTCAAAACCTTTGACAGGATCTTAATTGAGCCATCTGTCATTTTTATATTTTCTCCTGTCCAATAACTTTTTATTCTATGTACACTTCTCTTCCAGTTTTATCTGCTCCGTTTGTTTGCATGGGTTTATTTCTATCTGAAATTGCATTAGTTTTATTGCTTTAAGCAAGCTAAATATAGCTGTATCTTTTGATTTTTATTACATTTTCCATCAGGCTAAATTGTATATAATATCTAAAATACTGGTAAAATATCGGTTTTTCGCCAAAATAGCGATACTTGCATCTGATATCGGCCCAAATATTCATGTCAGTGAATCCCTAATTTTGATGACAAGGAAAAGATGGAATCATTCAATCAATAATTAAAATCTTCTGTACAATACAGAATTAAGCAGCATTTGTGGATTTCTTCCAATGGATATGAGTTTTCCCGACCTACTTTTAAATTTTAAACAACTTGTTCACATTAAAAGTCCATCTCTACTGGCTGCTCCGGCTCAATGTTTGTTTGATCTGACAACTTCAGTGCTTAACCAGCAGCCTTGTGGTAGAGCGCTACACTGTGAGCTACCGTAGCACTCGTCATTATCTACTGCGGCACCAAGTTTATGAAGCAGGAGAACAACGCTGTTAGCTTTGTAGACAAACAATTAAGTGGAATCACTCGAAAAACAACATGTTATGAGCCAAGTTATTGAGTCATTTTACTGCCCCACTGTGCAAAGATCACAGGCAAAAGCAAGATGTGCGTTTAAAGGTCTTTTTTAAAGCTGTTTGCCAAGTGAGACAGATATTCCAGTTTATCAAGTGTCAGGTGTGAAAATGAAAAGGTTTGCAAGAGATACTTGTCTGTAGATGCAAACTCTGCAATATCAGAAGTTGTTTTCAAGAGAACTTAGGTTTGTAGCCAACTTTCAAATCAAGTTTTCATCATGACTATATGGAGATGCTCTCGTTTTCCCCGGGAAAATACCAAATAGGCTGTACTCTTAATAGTTATTTATACTAGAAAACCGTATTAAAATCCTGCTCGTATTAGTAAGACATTTCTCAGGTGTTTGTGTTTAAAAGCCGCCTAAAATGATGTGATAATCTTTGCAGGTTCTAACAGGTTCAACTCTGACCATCAGCTGTTCCCATGTTTGCTTGAAGTGCTTTCCCCCAATGCAGACACAAACTCTGGGCTGTGGGCGTGTCAAACATATGGAGGAGCACTTTCTCCACTTCCACCAACAAAGGGAGGCCATTTGTGGGAAGTCAGCATCTTGTCCTAATTCACACTTTCATTCACTTCTACTGTGCTCCACTATTTAAGTTTAGAGGTTTGGTGTGAAGTGAGTTTAAGTTAAAATTAGGATTAGACTGGTAATGGTTGAGCATAAATGCAGTCACTAAAATTAAAGGAAGTGAATATAAAGTCAGTTTGATGGAAATACAACACTGTGTGTGTGTGTGTGTGTGTGTGTGTGTGTGTGTGTGTGTGTGCGTGTGTGTGTGTAGCCTTGTATCTGCTACATAGTAAAGACAATTTTTCCAACTAATACCCCACTGTGGGAACTGACTACTCCTATGTGGTGCCGTTTTTGCATGTGGAGTTAATTTTAGGACTTTAAGGTGTGAATTGAGTTTAGGTTCGGTTGAGGCATGAACTGGTAATGTTTAGGTTTAGGGAAGGGTTAGGCTACAGAAATAAATGAAAAAGGAAGGGAAGTCAATGCAAAGTCCCTACGATGATAGAAAGACACACTGTGGTGTTGACAGAGATTTTCTTTGATTAGACTCCAGTCATGTTGTTGTATGCTGTGATTAAGATGGATTTCAGCATAGATATTCATGGAATTGTATAGCTAGCAAACATGGAGATCCCAAAGAAAAAGCAGCAGTGGTGACTTGCAGCTGCTTTCAGAACAACGGACAGCTCCAGAGCCGTCGCCGCTCCAGGTACTGTCCATTGTGCTGAAGTGAAGTTGCATTAAGAGCAACATGGTTTCCAGTTCAAATCTGTAGTCGTCTTTTTTTTAATATAATATTGATATAAAATAGTGGGTCAACTGGAAGGTTTATATTCTACATATATTATATCAGCTGGTTTTTTCTAAACCAAAGGAATGAGGGAGAATGAACTACTGTCTCTACCTTGTGACTCAAAGTTAATTTGTAAAGTAAGAGGCAAAATCATCTTAAACTAAATATAAAACTTACATACTTTTAAATATTGCACATTTAAGGATGGTGTTACAAGCGTTTCCAAGTCTCTCTGTAAGTAAGTGGGTAACTTTGTCTCAATGGTCTTATTTTGTGGAATTTATTCATGTCCCACTGGCAGTGTGACTAGCTGGAGTATTTTTGAACAAAATGTCAGTGTAACCCACAGGTTATTATTACATAAGGCCATTTGCCGTTCCCATTGCATGTGCAATTTTATGAATATACAATCTGGGCGACAGGGGTGAGCCAAACATCAACAGATTTCTAGGCCAGATGTATATGTGTGTGTGTGTGTGTGTGTGTGTGTGTGTGTGTGTGTGCGCGTGCGTGCGTGCGTGCGTGCGTGCGTGCGTGCGTGCGAGCGTGCGAGCGTGCGATAGGGGTTAGGGGATATGACAGTTATTGCTGTGGTGGTAGTGTACCTGCAGACCGAACACTGCCTCTGAGGCTGCAGGGCGGTGAACATGACGATAACGGAGTAGTTCCTGGGCGGGGCCTTGACGAAACGACGGAACTTGTCTCCGTTCATGCGGATGACTGAGCGCCGAGAAGACCACTCCATCATCTGCTCAACCTTCTCCGACAGCAGGTTCTAAACGCAGAAAAGAAAAGACCAAACACAGATTATACTTTTAGTGCAGATTCTCAGAAAATGAGCAGCTGGATATGCATCAAGTGTGTCAGAGTAAAGTTCACGAGATAAGATGAATGGGCTTTTAAATACAATACATTGTATTGAAAACACTTATTCCAATGTCAGTTTGATGGCCACCATAACTATAATTCACAAGGGGAGTGGAGCAGACAATGATTCGATAGAAAAAAAATAGCATAATCACCACAATATTCAACGATCATAACTCAATATTATATTTTCCTCTCATCGTGAAGCCAAAGGTTTAAGGCAGTGGTCTCAAACTCCAGTCCTCAAGACACAGTGTCCTGCAACTTTTAGATGTCTCTCTGCTTCAGCACACCTGGCCCCACTATTAGCTATGTGGAGCTTGACTGCATGCTAGTGAGGCAGATTAGCCATTTAATTCAAGTGTGTAGGACAAGGGACACGTCTAAAAGTTGCAAGACATTGGTCTTCGAGAAACACCGTTTGAGACCACTGGTTTCGGTCAAGTTCATTTGTATAGCACACGTAGCAACTGTGGATCAGTGGGTAGAGTAGTTATCTTGCAACTGGAAAGCTGTAGGTTCGATTCCAGCTTCCTCCAGTCACATGTCGATAAGGCCCTGGGCAAGGAACGCCACCCAAAGTGGTCTGCATTGGTGTAGAAATGTGTGTGAATGAGTGAATATGGTTCTAGTATAAAGAGCTGCTGAACGGTCAAAATGACTGCAAAAACAATTTACAAGTTCAGTCCATTTATCATCAAGAATAATCCTCATTATCGATGACTAGAGTTTCAATGTTCCATTTATTTTAGCTCTAGCGTAACTATAAACAGATTTTTATCCGTTTTTTAAGGAAATCAGTGTTTTGGCAGCTTTGAAATTTTCTGGAAGTTCGTTCCAGATTAGAGGAGCAGAGAAACTGAATGTTGCTTCTCCATGTTGGGTTCAGAACAGAACCAGAGTACCTGAGAAGTCTGAAAGAATATACAACAACAGATCGTTAATGTGTTTTGGTGCAAAGCAGTTCAAGGTACTAGTGAAGTAACTGAAGTATTTCATAGTCTATTGTTTGAGCTGCAGGGAGTAGTGGAAGGACTTTATAGCTAGAGTGATGTGTAGTTTTGGAAAACTCTAGTAATACTTCTAGCATGCCACAGATTGCACAATCTTACTTAAAGTTTTTAACTTCTGGCATAGAGGAGAAAGTACTCCATGGTGATAGTATTTATGTTGCACTCCCAGCAAACCGCAACATCAAGAAGAAACATGAGAGGCTTGAGAAATACTAAGGGCTACTGAATAAAAAACGCCATCTGGCTGGGAAAAGAGCTCGACATCAGAGCTGCAGTGCAACTCTGCGGATAAACAACTTACAGCAAACATGTACACAAAGCCTCATGCTACAGATTTGGGAGATTAAATACTTTCGGAGAGTTGGATTTATGTAATTTTGCTTGGGTTCAGTGTCCTCATACTGTTTACATCTGTAAGCCTTTATGATGCAGTGTTGGTTCTCGAGGAGCCCGCTCAGATACTTGCCAACGTGATCTTCCCCACACCGCCACCGCTGCAGCAGCTCTGGGCTGAAGAGTGATGAAATAGTCAGACTGGAGATGAAACGCTTGCTTTTTCCAACCTCTGCTGATCAAACTGTACCTCAAGAACCTCTGGAAACGAGAGGCACGCGTTTGGTTTCACGCACAATGCAATCGATGGTTTTGAATGACAATGAGCTGCATATCTGAGCTCATGCATTTCTAATTAAAGACTTCCGATCTTATAAATGTTTGGCATACTGTGACACGTGTGAGTGCAAAGACTTGCATGACAAGCTTCACTGCTCCCTTAGTCAGCTGCTATCAGCTAGCACACCGATAAAAGTCTAAATTTGCAATCGGCTAAAAGGAGAAAAACACAAACCCTTTTTGGAAGTTTGTTCCATCACATAAAGCATATAAGTACCCCAATTTCTGTCCATTCCTGTTTTTTTTTTTGTTGTTGTTGTTTTTTGCACACAGGTTTTTAAGTATTGGTTCAAGCAGACAGTAGTTAAATAATTCAGCAGCGCGCCTTCATTCGACTGCTAATCGAACACTCCTACTTTCACAAAGATCAACAGCGGGCCTTAGAGTTGCAGAAGTGAAGCGTACACTGAATCTCTCCAGTAAACTGCCTGGAGACAAGATCAACAAAGACAAACTAAAAAAGCTGGAGAAGGATAAGGAAGAAAGTGAGGCAGAAAATAGGAGAAGAGAAAACAAGCATAATGTGTTTTGGGGGGGTATTTTAGATAGCATGATGGTCATCTCTAAGAGAGGAGAGGAAATTCACAAAGGATCAGCAACTACATAGTGTCCATGCTCACTGTAGGGTTTTTTTTTTTCTTCTTCTTTGCCTTTAATTTCTCTGCCTTGTTTTTGCCTTCATGCCTTCTGCCCTAAAAGGAGAGCTGCCAGCTCTGGACTACAGTCTGTAATGATGGCCTGTCTCACTTGTGCTTCTCAAACACTTTCTCACAAAGAGGAAATGAGTAAAAAGAAAAACTGAAAAAGAAAAAAGAACCAAATTATGTTAAATTTTGCGCACTGTAAATAAAATGAAGCCATATTTCTGAAATACGAGCTTAAAAAGAAAAAGTCGGTGGAATGGAAAGGTTTATCCTCATGTGAGGTGAAGATTAAAGTGGATGCATGTATCAATTTTAGATTCATAGACAGAAAACAAACTTGGGAGCTGATTATTATTAAACAGTTTGCCGAAGGGAG